AATTATCTAGTAACTAAAAGATATATGGCTTATCTTGCAAAATATTTCATTAAGGGCAAAATAGTACTTTAACTAAAAACAATTTTATATTAATAAAAACTTTTGTGAGTATTCTGTTTTTTAGCCTGGTTTTAACCCTGGCCATGTAGCATAGTCCTCAAATTAATTTCGGATACAACTGTAGATAGGTTGATATCAACAATGTCTACTAATATATCATCTAACAATCACCTTTGAACCTTTTTGCATCATTCCCTTTTCTATTGTCTTTAGAGGGCCCATGTTTCTTTCTCTTTTTACTTTAGGACCTTGAGTTTTCAATCATGTTAAAATTTGCTCCCATGTTTCGAATATAACTTTTCTTTTTTCAACCCTATTATTTTCTTCAATATTAAGTAAAACAATCAGATGCACCATCATCATCTCTTTACACTTGTGCTTAAGATATTTTTAAAAATCTTTTCATAATTGAGGTATTTTCTCGATCATAGCAAAAAATTGGAAAAATTCACTTCATTTCATGTACTTCGCCCCAACATCTCTTGAACTTGACTCATAACCATCTTTGAATAAACCATTTTGAAATTTAGAAATTTATCAATGATGAATTTCTTCATGCCGGCATCTTCTCTCTTTTATTTTATATCAAAAGATCCCCATTATTCTTTATTCATCCTATGAAATAATACAAATTTTACAATGTGTTATCCAATCCGTTGAGAATACAATTTCGATGTTGAATCCGAAAGGAGCAAGGCATTAATTTTTTTTCTTTTGACTATATGATTGTTAATAGGATATGAAGTTGAGTGGTCATTGTTTAGAAAAGAGAACTATAATTTTTCAAACGGTAAGAGTGAAGCTTTATCAAACCAATGATCTGGACTCGAGTCTCATTCTAGAGGAGGGGAAAAATCCTTTGATCCCCTTTGAAAAAAATAATCTACAGATAAATTTTACAAAAACTATGTCTTAAGCATGGATGGATGGGTGTGGTGTTATTTGTGTGGAAGATACAAACCAATTCTATAGATCCAACAAGAAAGAGAGAAAGGAAGAGATGGTGGAAGAAAACCAAGTATCCGAACCTCCAAAATTAGGGCAAAATATAACGATACAAATGTATTAATATACTACAAACCAAAGGAAATATAAAGGACAAAACTACCCTTAAACTAATATATTTATTACATTAACATCCCCCCTCAAACTCACGATGCTACGACAAGAAGCAACGAGAGTTTGTCAAGCAAGAAGCGAAAGCGATGAACTGGATGAGACTTTGTAAAGAAGTCAGAAAGGTAGAGAAATGGTGCCAGTCTGCAGATGATGACGAATCAGATGACAGTAAATTTCAATATGCTTCGTACGCTCATGGAACACAGAATTGTGAGAAATCTGAATAGCACTTTTGTTATCACAATACATGGGGGTTGGAGATGATGAAGAAATACCCATGTCTGTAAGTAACCAATGCAACCACACAATCTCAGTAGTAGTAGATGCCATAGCACGATATTCTGCCTCAGTAGATGAACGAGAAACAACAGTTTGTTTCTTACTCTTCCAAGAGATAAGAGAATCACCCAAAAATATACAAAAACCAGTAGTGGACTTGCGGTCAGTGGGGTTACTAGCCCAATCAGCATCAGAGTAGGCACGAAGTACTAAATGGGAGGTCGATGGAAACAAGAGACTTCGAAAGCAAGTACCACGAAGATAGCGCAAAATACGAACAGCTACCCAATGANATCCATAGTATACTTAGACTGAGAGAGAATAAAACCTTTAGGAGAAGAAGCAACTTCAATCCCCAAAAAATAAGATAATGCACCTAAATCCTTTATTTCAAAACGACGAGCCAATTCTGATTTCAAAGCTGCAATCTCACCAACATCATCACCAGTAATAATCATATCGTCAACATACAGTAAAAGTAGAATGCGACCAGCCGAAGTGCTTCTAAAGAAAAGGGCAGAGTCATGATGACTGGGTGTAAAACCAAAAGAGGTAACAACAGTGGAAAATTTCTCAAACCAGGCACGAGGTGCTTGTTTGAGGCTATAAAGCGCTTTCTTGAGTTTGCAAACATATCCAGGAGAGTGAGAAAGGCCAGGAGGAGGAACCATATAAACCTCCTCTTGAAGATTTCCATTCAAAAAGGCATTTTTGACATCCAACTGAGAGAGACTCCATCGACGAACAGATGCAACTGCAATAAGTGTACGAACAGTAGTCATATTGGCAACAGGATCAAAAGTCTCCTCATAATCCAGGCCATACTGCTGATTAAAACCCTTAGCAACCAATCTAGCTTTGTAACGCTCAATTGAACCATCAGATTTGGTTTTAATCTTATAAACCCAACGCCAACCAATAGCATGTTTACCTGAAGGTAAAGCAACTAAGTCCCAAGTGTCTGTCTTATGCAAAGCAGAGAGTTCATCAACATAGCCTGTTGCCAAAGAGGATCTAGAATAGCTTCTTTGTACGAAGAAGGTTCAGATAGCTTATGAATGGAGGTTAGAAAACAACAAAATGACTCAGAATAACAAGAATAATTAAAATCAGGTAATTGAGTGGACTTACGAATACGATGAGGATATCGAGGAAGAGAGGGAGCAAGGGCTAGATCATCCATCTCAGAGGGTGCTTGGGTGGCCACAGAGGGAGAAGGGATATCATGTGTACCTGTAGGACATGAAGAATCAACAGTACATGCAGTATGGGAAGGTAGTCTGTCAATGTCATCAGAGAATGAATCAATATGAATAAGATCAGTTTTAGTCACATCATGAGTACTATCAGAGATAGCAAAGAATGGAATGTGCTCAAGGAATACAACATGACGAGAAACATATAACTTTTTCTTAATGGGATCAAAGCAGCGATAACCTTTTTGTCCCTGCCCATAACCCAAGAAAACACAGATAGTAGAGCGAGATGTCAACTTACTACGTTCAACCTCAGGACGAAGAACAAAGCAAGTACAGCCAAAGACTCTTAATGATGAGTAATCAGGAGGATGCCCATACAATGTTTCAAAGGGAGATAGACCTAAAGTGTGAGACGATGGAATCTGATTAATTAAAGAAACAGCAGTGAGAACTACTTTTCCCTAAAACTCACTAGAGACTTTAGTAGATAAGAGAAGGGAACGAGCAGTTTCTACAATATGCCTATGCTTTCGTTCAGCAACACCATTTTGTTGTGGGGTATTAGTACACGAGGTTTGATGAATTGTGCCATCAAGAGCAAGCAATTCAGAGAAATCAGTAGAAGTGTACTCCCCACCCAAGTCACATCTAAAACATTTAATCACAGCAGAATGTTGAGTTTTAACAAGTGCTCGAAAGGAACGATAAATGGAAAGAAAATCAAAACGTCGTTTCATAAGATAAATCCAACAATAATGACTGTAGTCATCAATAAAGGACACATAATATCTAGACCCTCCTTTTGTAACAATGAGAGCAGGTCCCCACACATCAGAATGGACAAGATCAAATGGTGCAACAGAACGAGAAGTACTTCGAGGAAAAGGTAAAGCAGAAAATTTAGCTAATTTGCAACCACTACAATCAGAAATATCATGAGTTCGCAAATCTCCCAATTGACCTTCAGAAACTAAAAATTTTAAACGACTAGCGGAAACATGTCCAAGGCGAGAATGCTACAAATAAAAACTAGAAGAAGAAGAATTCAAAGAGAAAGATGACAAGTCAACACTAGAGGCTGCAACATGTGGTAGTCTCAGATAGTCCATAACATATAACCCTCCCCGTTTACGGCCTATCCCAATCACCTTCTGAGATCGAGGATCCTACACCTGACAAGCAGTAGAAGAAAACTGAACTAAGTATCCAGAATCACACAACTCACCAACAGAAATAAGATTCAAAGTAAGAGATGGAACATAATAGACATCCGAAAGTGATAAATTATGTGTGTTAATAGGACCAACACCTGTCAAAGGCAATGGGGTGCCATCAGCAGTCATAACAGACATAGATGAATTAGAAGCACGCAAGTAATTAAAGATTTTTGAGTCAGATGACATGTGTTTGGAAGCACCCGAGTCAAGGATCCACAAGGAAGAAATACCTGACGGACTCTGAGGTGACAAACCTATATGAGTAGAGGCTGACATAGCATATGGCTGTGTGGCTAAGAACTTCTGCTCTACTAGATCAGTCAAAGGGGGACCAGATGAAGGTGGTGTTCCAAGTATAGATGAATCACCAAGTAGCACTTCTCCTGCTAGAGATTTCAAACGTGTTTCCTCAACCTCAAGTTCGCTCACCACAGAATCATTCTCCAACTGATACCTCTTTGCAAAGTTAGACCTAGTGTATGACGTAGTGTAGAACTTCTGCAAATGATCCCAAACTTCCTTTGCCGTTTCATATTTCACCAACTGAGTACCAATGAAATGCTCAACAGAATTATAAATCCAAGTAAGAATTTTCGTATTATTTGATTCCCAATAATCTAACTCAGTCACATAATTATCAACAGTGCTCTTTGGTTTCACAACATTTCCACTAACATAACCCCACAATCTTTTCCCTTTAAGAAAATTCCTCATCACAGTATTCCAATATGAATAATTCTTACCATTTAATTTAACACTAACGGATTGAAGTGCGTCATCCCCTTCAGTTGTCATCATGGTGTCAATAGAGAACTACTACTACGAATAAAATGAGAGCAAATTCACACAATTCTAGAAAATCAACAATAATCAATGCACCATCACTAAATATATCATACAGCACATAACATTAAAATAATATCACCAAGCAATGAACTTGCTGTCTTTCCAATGAACCTACTGTCTTTAGCAATAAGCACCCACCGTCCACTTCTTCAGCCACAAACAAAGCACCCACTGCCCAAAACCACAAAGCAAGACAACTGTAGATGAAGCCAAGAATCCTACACAAGACCCACAAAGGAAAGCCAAAACTGAAATCACAAAGGAACAGTCACGATCAAGGGCCGAGAAGGGAGAAATCGGACAGCCACTGGTGAGCCACCAAAAAAAAAGAATTCGCTACAATCGCCGACAATGAGATCACAGGCAGCAAGAACACACCTTCTGTAACGACCCAAATTTTTAAAGGATTTGAATCGCTACCAAAACTATTTATAAAAAAAAAAATCATAAATTAATACTGCAATTTATTCATGTATGTATGGATAGATCAAATAATGTTCAAAAACAATTTAAGAATCAGGGACATAATTCGAGGGCAACAATTACCATTGATATATCATTTTATGAAAATGGTTAAATCGCATATAAGGCAACTCTGAAAATTTAACAGAAAAGTAAATTGAAAAGGTGAACTCCATATTTTATATTCTCTACACGGGCAAAATAATGTTTTCAAATCCCTGAGTAAAAGTCAAAATAATAGTGGTACCAAACATTTCATTTAATGATTTAATAAACATAACGAACAAAATGGCTATTATATCCATGATCATAACATTAATACACATAAAGATGAGTTATCTGCACCAATGGCAGAACGGATATGCCAGCACCCAGCACTAATTGACAAAGAGAGACTACTCAAAAATATTGTGAAAGTGGGTAACGTTACTGAGTCAAATAAAAAAAAGTATCCTTTCCAACCATAACTTTAGAGTAAGGAAAATATAGTTATTCAGCCCAACTAAATGAAATATTAAGAACCCACAAGAAACGTCAATTCTGAAAAATAAATTCAGTCACATTACATCGGATTCGATTTATTAATTCCAGTAGATCTTGGCACAACGAAATCACCT